CAACTTTTTGGGTGTGTTTATAAATGGGTTTTGAGTGTGTGTAATGATGGGTTTTGGGTGTGTTTATAAAGTGTTTTTGGTGTTGGGTTTTTTTATAATTTCAACCTCCATTTTGGGTGTTTTAGTGAAACTCCCTTTTTTTTTCCCCTTTTTTTCTAGTATTAAGAAAAGAAAAGATAACATGGGTAGTTATGTTCGATAAAAATATGACTTATTATTTGATTTTGTTTTTAATTTTAATTTTTTAAATATGAAAAATGTGAATTTACCATATTATCCTCATTTAATTAATAATTTCAATTCTTAATGTTTGAATTAACCAAGAGCATTTTCTGGTATTTTGAATGTTTTATCATTCTCTGCCTTCTGCTTTATATGTATAGATACATATTTTATTCATACTTTCCTGTTTCGTATTTTACTAAATAGCAAACTACATACATATTTTATTTGTACTTTTCCTGTCTTATATTTTACTAACTAGCAAATTAAACTCTTCAAATTAAAGTTTGTTGATTTATGTGACAATTTGAAAATGTTTATTTGCTACTGTAATAATTTATGTCACAACTTACTCGCTAATTCAATTAATGTAATATTATGAAAAAGAATGAAAAATATAAAAACATATGAAGAATGCCTATATATTTATGACCTAAAAAGTAAAAGTGTATGTTTTTAACATTTTCAATGTAGGTTTTGTGTTTGTAAAGTAAAATTAAATGTTTTGAAGAGTCAAGATTAATTTACCACTCATGAAGAATATGAAGTCTCACATCGAAAGCTTGACGGATAAAATATAAAATATAATAAATGGTATTACTATTAATAATATCAAGGTTTTTTTTATTAAGTTCACATATATCAGATCATGTAGGTTGGGAGTTTGTCTCTCTAAAATATTTGCATGGTATTAGAGTTGGATAATTGACTATACTTGATTGAACCTGAATCAAATAAAAACTTTGAATTGAAGATGAATCAAACAAACACCAAATTTGAAACCATGAATTGAAAAAATAACAAAAAAGCTACCAAATTGGTGCATTTGTGGCGTATTAAAGAATGATCCACGTGATAAGGAATCTTGAAGAATATTAAGTTTCACATCAAAAAGTTGACAAATAAAATAAATACATAATGAATGGTTCTACTACTAATAGAATCAAGACTTTTTATATAAAATCTCATACATGTTGGACTATATATGTGATTAAATTTGGGACAATATTGATGTTGTTAGTAGTGGACTGAGAGTTCATCTCTTTGAAATCTTTATATCTTCCTACAACAAAAAGACGACTCATAATGTATTGCCTTCTCCTTCAACTTTTCTTCATTTGAAGAGAGTATGGGTTTGCAATTAGAATGTGAACATTAAACCATGAGGTGGAGAGAAAAACTTTCACCATCAAACGTGGGCCATAAAAGAAAATGTTGTTCGTTTACAGTGTATTAGAAAAATAATGGAAAATATCGTACCACAATATTGATTTTGACTTTTTTTTTTAAATTTTCAATCCTAGTTTGTTTCATTTGCTTTGACATTTTTTCTAAAAAAACTTTTTCAGTAGGCCCATGCAAAAAAAGAAAAGAAAAAAAAAGCACAAGCAACACGACAAGACACGAAGGTAGTAGGCTTGGATTGATCGTTAGTTAAACGAATTTTATTTTACATTCTTATACAAGGCAAATCAAACATGATTAAAGAAAAAAAAATGATATTTCCTAATTACTTTTTCAGTAATACTGAACATCAGAAAGAAAATTTTTCATTTCGCATATATTTAAAAAAGACATAATTTCTATCCAATCCTTTCAGCGTACTAAACGGCCTTAATTTTAGATTTGGAAAGAAAGAATGAAAGATAAGGTCGTATGGGAGAATCTACTGAATATAGTTGGAAGCTAAGATGATGATGAATACAGAAGAACGAAACCAAACCCTCTGCAGAACCTTGTTCCCCTCGTCAGTCGTCAGTCAGTTTTGAAATAAAAGAAAAGGTCAAACTCCCATTTGGTCATCATCTTCTGTGAGTGGGAATATAAAATTCCACACCAAACGTATACAGATTAGTACTAGTGAAAACTACATAAGTATTCATTCAAAATAAAATACACAGTAAAAGAAAAAAAGAAAAAGGAAAAGAAAAAAACCCAAAGACAGGAGGACATGTCCCCCTTTTCTTCTTCTGGTTCGTGAACTCAATTTAATGTGGGCTTGGAGTCCGTATA